GGAATCAGCTGCTATGAGAATTGACAGCAGATAACAGATGAGTATTGCCTGAGTGTTAATTGCCTTTTTGGTTTCACATGTCCGGATACTTGAGTATCACGATTGATCTCCATAGTGTTTTAAAAAAAGTAAACGTCAAAATCAGCCGATTGGCGGACTCAGCTGTTGTGAAAATCGGCCGCCGATTACAAATGGATTGTTTGGATATTGTCTGTGATTTTTGGTTGCACGTATTCCAAATATTACGATTGTTGTCGATAGTGCTTTAAAGATAAAAACAAACAAACAAACGTCAGAATCAGCTGATCAGCGGAACCAGGTGTCGTGCGGATATTATATACCCGTGATTTGTGTTTCACGTACACAAGTATCGCGATTAGTGCTCGTAGTACTTTGAAACAGCAAATGTCAAAGTCAGCTGATCGGCGGAATCAGTTGCTGCGAAAACTGATTTAGATAACGGATAGATAGAAGATAGATGTTCGAATATTATCCGCGACTTGCGTTTCATACTTGAGTATCGCGATTAGTGTCCGTAGTTGCTTTGGAAAAGCAAGTGTCAAAGTCAGCTGATCGGCAGAAGCAGTTGCTGCGAAAACTACGATAGACAACAGATGTTGTTCGGATATTATTCGCTGATTTTTTTCACTCCACATGCTCGGGTGCTCGATTATCTCTGGCGAAACTTCGATAACCGAGTGATAGCCGTGAATTTGAGCACCGTGAGCGGAGACCCGAGTGTGTCCGGGTATAGAAACTATCCGGTTTATACTGACAGCACTAGTAGGTTATAGCCGCAGCTGCGGGACGGTCGCGAGCACAAAAAGCTTTTACCCGTTAAAACGCCCGTCACGAAGCTCTCTCTAAAAAATGCACCCGCCTCGTGCACGCGGAAATACCCCGAGATGCACTTTGGACAATGGCGGTCGACTTTGAGCAGCGCCGCGAAGACGGTCGGACACAGAAGGGGTTGGTGTGGAAGATTCGCGCGGGGCTCTCTCGAGTTCGCGCGCGGAACGATCGATTAATATTTATGTATTCGCCTTGATATTTTGTGACTGCCGCGGCGCGCCGACTGGCTCACGACGAGAGCGCGTCGTCGAGCGTGAAAGCGCGCGACGTGAGAAGCGTTTGGGCTCTTAAGAAGCTTTTAACGGCTGCCCGAGACAAGCGGGGAGGAAGCGCGCCCTTGTCTGTCACAGCTCGGTCGATGATGCGCCGCACCCAGGTCGATCGCAGGCGAAATCGCTCGCAGCTCGTTTAATAGCCTCGCAGGCACGGAATAAAAAGTCGATTCCCCGCGCGCCAGAAAGGAAAATAATAATTTGATCTTGAGGGCGCGCCTCGTTACGCGCGCTAACATGCCGTGGTCCGAAACCGTCCGCATCCGGTCTGCGCGTCACGCATCATAGCGCGATTTTTGTCGTCCCGACGACGCCGCCGCCGCCGCCGCCGCGACGCGACGCCGTGAATAGTTCCGGCGAAAGAGTTGCGGGACGTCTTCTCTCTTCTCTTTCTCACTTTTTCGTTTCTTATCTTGCTTTCTCTCTCTGGAACCGAGACGTCTGCGTCGAGTTATCGTCGATGTTACCCGATAACATCGAGGCGGGTCCCGGCGAGGAGGTACCTTCCTCGTCCGTCGGCTAATTGCGCCGGACATCGACGACTCGATCTGCCGCGAATGCACGAAATAACGCGTCTCACGGCCGCCCCGGACTGTCGTCGCGTTACAGGAGGCAGCGGGAGATGAGTAGGTATAACGAAGGTGGTCGGATCGCCGGACCAGACAATTTAATTGTTCGAACTTAAATGGAGAGCAGCTGCCTTCTACCGCCTAACAAGGCGGTAATAACCCGGTTCTAAGGTCTTCTTCTCCTCTTCGAGAGCCCTCGTTTCTCCCCTCGTTTCTCTCGCCCTGCCTGTTCCTCTCTCTCTCTCTCTCGCGCGCGCGCGCGCGCTCTCGCTCTCGCCTCTCTCGCGTTCCATCCACCGTTCTTCGTGGCTTCACTCGAGCCACTAAGCACTAACCATGACGTCCGTGACCCTGGTGGCGTGCTGGATTTATAAGCGAGGGGCTATCCGTGAAACAGCAGGTGCTTCCGTTGCGCCGGACGCCGCCCGAAAAAAATAAAAGCACGCCTGGGCCACGCTTCTCTCTTCCTAATTCCGTCTTAATCGTCGAGATCGTTTAACTTGGAGTCTCCCGCGTAGAAGGGCGGAGTTATTCTTACATCGCGCCTGTTGCAAAACCGCAAGACCGTTCTCTTCCGCACGCCGCATTCTCTCTTTCTTTCTCTCTCTTTCTCTCTCTCTCTCTTGTTCGCTCAACTCAACTTTCGGGAACATCGTCAAGCGGGTTCGCGAAATGCATTCGCGCGTGTCACGAATCGTTTCGTCGGATTAAGTTACATGTGCATTCACACATGCCCCCGTTCCAGCGAACGTCCGTGGCTGATAACGAAGAGACGTGTAACTCGCGCGCCAATGTCAAACATGTACCCGGTGAAGAGTGAACACAGAGTGACTTTCGAAATAGGCGCGGATAGACGAGAGATCACGGGTTTTGAATAAAGGAAGAGCTTGTTTGATACTGCGCGAAACACCCTTTTTATGTACTCTTTGTAACAAGTAGTCGTGATTTTTAATGAATGTGGAATATGTAAAATATCCTACTTCTATATCGTATTTCAGCCAGTTGTTTTAAAAGTGCAGTTTTGAGCCTCTAGTGAATTTAACGCGAGATAACTGCACGAATTTTCCCCATTTATTCACAGCCAGAAATAAATTTTCAAAAGAAATAATGCATTAAATTAAATGGAGCCAAATGCAAGTCTCGGTGCGGAAATATATATATAATGTCAATAATTTACACAAATATTTATTAATCAAGGTTAAATTTGGCCGAATCAACTTACAAAGCAAATGTATGTTTCACAAATAAAATTAAATAATTTATTTAACGTAATGACCATAGAGAATCTGAAGTCACTTCGGCTAATTTAACTTTATTTTTCCTCGATGTATATTTTTCGTAGAAATTTAATTCCGAGTCGATAAAATGTCCTATCGTAATTAGTACAAGTTATGTATCATTTATCGAGACATACGTTTCGACGCGACCCGGACAGGCCAAGTATGCGTATCTCTTTGGGTCTCGGTTTCTCAAAACTTGTTGTCGTAACAAGAATGAAACTTCTGCCTACAAAATTCCCACGGGACCCGATTAGATTAGAGGCGCGGGTCGATTAGGTAAACTACACTGGTTTATCTCGAACTTGAGCCAACTCGATTTCGGGAAGTTAGGTTTGTTTAACGCGAAGTCACAGTAACAAAAATCTAGATAAGCGCGTGACAAGTTTTACTCGTCAGATTATCATGTACAAAGTTCTCTTTATTTGCATATCAAATCTCTCTCTTTTTCTATCTTATGTCGACGTGTGTGAATATTTCCCAGTACATACATGCATACACACACACACACACACATACACTAGAGTAGAAAAGAAACTATCTCTTGGAAACGAAACGATTGAAATGAATTTGGAGACGAACGAGGAGAGAAGCATCGGGGGAGTGGAAAATGTGAACAATGCGGATCAAAGGTCCCCTAGGTGTGCGAACGACACTCAGCGTTTCCGTGAAAAGAAGAAAAAAGGAGAACTGATAGGATCGCCGTGTAACACATATAATAAACTTATTTGCCCAACTCGATTTATCGCGATACGACGAGAGCACGGTGTATCCTCCTCCTTTTTCTATCGTACGTATTTCAGGGGTTAACAAGCTAGGTAGTCTCACGCAGCGGCGGGCCGCGATAGAAGGGCCGCCGTATATAATAATAGCGGGTCCCGGGATCGTTTCCACGGGCAGCATTAATACTACTTATCTTGTGCGCGGTACACCACGTGGTAATTATCGTCCAATCTCCGTAGGACCACCGGGACTCTAGAATATAATTCTTCCGAGTTCGCTACTTAAAAGCGCGCGTATTTCGTTTTTGGATACCCTCGCCGGGTGGTGGTGGTGGTGGTGGTGGTGGTGGTGGAGGAGCTGGAGCTTGGTGATGTCTCGCTCTTGCCTCCTCTCCCTTTCTCTCTACCTGTCTTCCACCGCCTCTCCTTCTGCCGCATACCCGCGCAACGCCGTCGAGATTTTAAATTTAATTTAACGCATTCACGTTCCGCGTGACACGATAACGAGCTACTGACAGCCGATTATAATAATTATCGTAGGAGGAAAGCGACCCGAGAGACGTCGAGCGACCGCGCGCGGACTCGTAAAGTCCGGTCCGATCGGCGCCGCCTCGGAAAGAGCTGTAAAGCCCGAGAGATTAACCCGTCAACATTCCCCGTTATTCGCCGGCGTTGCTTGTAATTTACACGCGGTTTTTGCATGAGAACAGGGATTGTCCGGAGGGTATGCACGCGAAAATAATAATGAAAGCGAGCCGATATGCAATTAATATTTCTTAACGTTGCAAGTCGCCGCGGCGTTGAGATAGTGTCGGCTCGTGTCGCGTCAGTCTCTTTCAATCCGCCCCCGATATTTCGCGAGACTCGTGCGGCTCCGAATTCGCAAGGCCTCCTTCTCCCTCCTCGCTTTTCCTTTCACTCCCCCCGCGTTTGCGTTCGGGCGAACGTGTTCCTTTCCTCGAGCGCGCGTGAGAATCAGTAGCGCGTCGCGACAAATGCAAGTGAAAACTGAATCCAAGCACGAGCTTTCCGCGCGAGACAATATTTGAGCCGAGCAAATCTCTCTTTCACAAATCATTCGGAAGGCAGAGTAGACAGGTAGACACACGGCTACCATCTGCCCGCCGGCAGGCAAAAAATTCGGCAGACCGCGACTTCTCCGGAGGAAGTTTCGGGAAAAGGACGCTTTCCGTCGACGAAAGTGGCCGAGCGACAAATCCTCCGGAGTGTGGGCAGACGGCATAACGGGAACGACAAAATTTACAATGCCCTCTTCGCGGACTAATGGGATATTTATTGCTTGCTTAGGACACGCGGGACTCTCGAGGCCGAAGTCCGTCCGAGTGGGTTAAAGACGAATCTGAGCCCTCGCGAGCGTCGGGCGATGCCGTGTCAACTGGATAGGTGAGTGCCATAAAGTCATAATGGAGGCTCTTAAAGCCATTCGAGATTAAGTGTCGCCTGTAAAAATGACGGATACGCCGGTCGTAGCGTAATATAACGATAATAAGCGGCATGGTGTCGCGCGCCGATATCACCCCCGCGCGGCGTGTTCGATGGTTGTGCACACAGCAGTTGTCTCTCTCTTCTTCCAAAGCACGCATTGGCACCCATAACGTGCGCGATGCTCTTGCCATGAAGATTTAGGTCGCAAAAATCGGAATGCAGAAGTTGCACGCAAAAATCGGCAATACTCGTTGGAAAAGTCGGGTTTATAAGAGGAATATATGTTGGACAAATTAAGAGTTTAACTACTCGGCGTTGCATGGTTTCTCATATCTAGAACATCTTAAATTGTGGTAAAATGTCAAAAGGAGATCAGGAGAAGGAGGGTCAGGTTTCACGTAGCCTTATACATTTTCTGCAGATCCTAGAGAGTAACTCATGCAAAATTTGGTTCTCTTTCTCGCACGTTCTAGAGAAGTTTAGCTAGATCCTTGTTTCGAGAGGATAATAATTCGTGTCCTCAAGTTTTCGTGTCGCGGAGGATCATGCTGGCCGAAAACACTCCGTTTTCGCTCGTGATCATCGGAAACGAAGTGTCAAGTGTATCTATTTAACGCGTGTTGACGTGTCGGCCATACTCGAAACGCAGTGCATAGGGATTAGGTTACTCGACTATGCAACCGTGGAAAGTCTTGATAGTAACAGTCGCTCGAGGGTGTGAAGTGGATACGGCTCGCAAGGTGTACAGGGCTGCTCGAAGGGCGACGATCGGCGGCAGATGTCATCGCCGCTTTCAAATCGACGCGAGCTCGAGCGTCGTCAGGAACTTGTTAACGCGACGGACGATGACAGGGTAGAGAACGTAGCCGGGGCGGGGTTGAGGGCTCGAAGAGTTTCGGAGCTTCTCTCTGATGAGAGTCGACGCGGCGATGACGAGCTGGCGAGAAACGATACTGAGGAACAGCGTCGCGTGGAAAGAAGATAAATTTCTTCTCCTATTTCTTTTCAAGATTTCTTTTTATAAATGTCCCAGCTTTCTCTCTCTCTCTCTCTCTCTCTCTCTCTCTCTCTCTCTCTCTCTCTCGTAAAATAAAAATACCAATGCCTGAATCACGATCTAATCTTATATATTTTTATTGTTTTAGCTTAAACTTTCAACATCAAATATATACACATAAATTGAATATATATTCTATGTTTTGAAGGTTTAAATATTTAAAGACCTAAACAATAAGAATGTTCACCTTACACGCGTGTCGGTGCATCCGTTTTACACAACAATATTACGTCGGGTGTTTGATACGAGACGTTACCCGTCGACGATGGTTACGCGAAAGCTGTCGATACACGCATTAGATTATCGTGCACGCACCATCAACGGGGGACGCGTAACGCTCCCCAGTAAATTACCCGAATCCTGCGGGTGGTAGTCGACTCTCCTTTACGGCGTAACAAGTGTTCATTATAGATCGGAAGCATGCGCACACTCGGTTGGTAAGGAAGAAGCGATAAAAAAAAAAGCGAAGAAGAGAGTTACACGTTCCGTATACGGTACCGCTCGGCCGGCGAGAGCCAGTAGCGCTCGATGGTCCATATACGGCGGCACATCCGGCCGTAAAGGGTTAAAATTATTCCGTATCAGAAAAAGCCTAGCGTCAGGTCGAGTCCGGTGCGCTTCTCGACACGGCGTGCTCTCCTCTCCTCTTCTCTCCCTTGTTCCTCTCCCATCCCCTTTCCCCTCTACATCTGCATCGGGAGAATTTCCATCTCCGCTCATCTTGCCGCGTGTACGTGACACACAAAGGACGGCGGGAACGCGCGGGAGCTCCGCAATCGACATTTTTCACATTTTCCACATTCCCGGAAAACTATCCTCTCCGCGCGTCCGCTCGTCTGTCCGTTGGTCCGTTGGTCGATGAGCCGACCAGGTTCGGGATCGCGTCGAAAAATACAGGGACGACCCGACGAATCGTCTCGGATTCTGACGGTCAGGTAGACGGCTCGCGGGGCACCGATTCCGACGAAGAAGGAAACGATAAGGCAGAGGCAGTCGCTGGCCTTCCCCTCCGACCCCTCCGGCCCTGAGAGCCAGCGCGCATCAGCATCTCCTCTCTCTCCGGCCGGGCTCTTCGAGAGCCTGGTCTCAAGTGGGCCAATGTGAACGCGGCTTTGTGATGGCATAACGAGCGTGGAGAGCCTCTCCCATGCCCCGTGTAATCTGGTCTTCAGGTAATTGTATGTTATACGTCCGGGGAGCCTAGCGAGAGAGCGAGTGGACGAGCGAACGAGCGAGAAAGGAATAGTAGTAGACCGAGCGAGCGAGAGGGCGAGGAAGGGGCGAACGGGAGAGTTTGCGAAAAATCGCGGCTCATTCGGGTACAGGCAGAAGTCTCTCTCGTGATAGTCGGGGAAGAAAACGAGCAAGAGGAAGACGAGGAGGACGACGACGACGATGTGGAAGAGGCGAAGGAAAGAGAGCGGGAGAAGAGGTGAGAGAAGAGGAGCCTGAGAGGGAGGGATGTAGGGAGGAAGATGTGGAAGGGCAGCGAGAGGGTGTGAGAGAGAGAGAGAGAGAGAGGCAGTGGTCGGCGGAGGTGAAGGAAGAGGGGAGAAAGAGGAGGAGAGTGTGTGAGAATGCTATCAGCGGATTCTTCTCGACCCGAGGACCACACGGCGAGACCACCGTGCGTGCCTTCGGCCCTCTTTGCCAATATATCCGCGATCAAACATCGGGCTGAGTGAGTAAATGCGTGAGTTACTCCGATCGTACTACTTTTCTTGCCACGACGTTTCTCGTCTTGTTCGAACTACGTGAATCACGAATGTCGTTCGGTTTCTCTCTCTCTCTCTCTCTCTCTCTCTCTCTCTCTCGCCCGCTCGCACCCCTTTCTTCTTTCGCGAGCCACGTGATGCCCGTGTCTGGATTTCCGGCCGGGAGACGACGGCCCGTCAGTCGTCAGTCGCAGCACAATTGCCGTAATCGATACACTGTTGCGCGTAGTCGCGATTATCCGCGGTCGTTTCCCACCGGCCGCGTAATTATCAATCCACGCTCCCTTACGTAATTATGGTAAGCGCTTGTCGTCGTCGTTCTTGTCATCGGCGACCGTGGGCTGTGCGGATGGTTCGCTTTAGCGCGGGATCGCCGCTACTTATGCAGCGTATCGTGTACCGCACGAGTATTGATGTAATTAAAATGTAATTAAAATTATCGGGCATTTTTTTGGTCGGTAACTTCCGTCGACGCTTTGCATAATAACGTTATCTCCGATAATAATAATAATCGGGCAGGCCAATTTTGCGCATTTGTGATACATTGACGAAAATAATTGAAACAAGGAATATACCGTGTCGCAAGACACACCCCCTCGTTATATTGCAGTATTTATTTATTTATTTAAACAGAGGAAGAGATCCCTTTAGTACACGGAGAAAATATTGCAGTTTTCCTTTATTCATATAAATCTTCAATGGCATAATTTAGTTTTTAAGATATAAGTAACACATAGACGAAATGAAGAGATAATCTATTTCTATTTATCGCGCAGTCACAATGTTTTCTAATAATTTTTAATATAAAATTTTTTCTCTATGCGCAGTACAGAATAATGAAAAAAAAAAAAAACAACATGGAAATATCACGATTGCTCGTGGTAGTGGTAGCGAAAATCGTGTCACCGTCACTTACACGTCCTCCCTCTCTGTTCCTCGCTCGTTCACAGTTCACCGTTATCACGGGACTACGGGCGCTCCTCCGGGATGATAAAGCTCGTCGAGTCCTCGCGCGCCTCGCTCCGAGCGCAATTTGGAGCGGGTTAAGCAGGTACGCGTGCGTGACGTCGTGTAGCATCCAATCGCCAAAATGCCGGGCCGGCGGTCCTCGTTAAAACATTGTAGCACGCAGGTGTTATTACGGGTGAGCGCGCGTCCTTTTTTAGGTAGCGTAATCGTTGATTGACAGTCGTTGTCGAATTATCGTGACTGGCCCGTCGCTCGAGGGTAGCGTAGTTCGGCAGGGCAGAATTTCGACGATGCTGAAGAGCGCGAAATAAGAAACAAAGGAAGACAGGGAGGGAATGAGAGAGCAAGGAAGTAGGATCGAGAGTTAACAAATCGCGCGCGCTGCTATTGCGCGACGAAGGGTCAAAGGTCGGCCGGAGAGCAGCGCGCTGCTCGAAAACGTAACGCGATGAGGAACAACGAACCTCTCCAGAAGCAGAAGTAGTCGAGTCCTTGGCGTAATTGAAGTCTGTGATAAAGGGGCGTAATTTGCCATTCGTAATTGTCGCGTAATTATTTCTCGCAATTAACGCGCCCGGAGTACATACACGTCGGTGGAGGGTCGCTGAGGGGGTGGGAAGGGTGACACGCTGGCAGCGTGTCACTCTCTCGAGTCGCGCGTTATTAGCAGCGCCAAGATTAAATATTGGAGCACCGGTGCGCCCATATTATACCACTACGTGCGCCGCGCTGATTATGCCACTCGGCGCCGCTGGCTCTTCCCTGGCGCGTGTGATACCTTAAATCGGCTGAGCAGCCTAACCGAATTAATTTTTCGCGCTCGGCCGCGAAGTAATCACGGCTCTGCGTGCGATGGTTGGCGCTTCGTTAATCGAAATCGACGCCGCGCAGCGCGACTGTCGGGACGATTAAGCTCGAAAAATTGGCGGATTGGCTCGCACGGCGAGTGGCTCTAGTGCCAATTAGCGCGGCTGGAACGTCGAGCCCGACGCACGTGGACTCGTCTCGAGGAGCGTGTCTTGTCGACAGCGGCCGACTCGATGATGAGATCGCCGACTCGATGGGTCAATTACGCCATTTTGTCGGGGAAGGGGCGAGGGCCGGGCAGATCTCGCGATTTCGCGCCGCAAAGTTAGTCAGCCGTGGAATACCGGCGCGGAATTCGCCGCGATGCGTCTCCCGCGTTTTCCTCCCGCGCCACGCACATTCTGCGGGGG